TCTTCCTGTTAGCCCACCCCTGTAACCTATCCAGACCCTCCAGTGGCTGCCCCACGCATCCTCACCCCTCCAACTTGCACCCCCAGACCCCCATGGCTACCTTTACAACCCCAGGCACCATCACTTTAAAAAAACCCAGAAAAAAACCCAGGAAAAAAAAGGCCTCTGCTTACCTTAGAAGCAGGGGTGGGAGGGCTCCAGGGCCTCCTACCAGAGCCCCCCGGGGCAGCGGAGGGGCAGGAGGGCTCAGGCTGGGTCTGTCACCCTGCCCTGCACTGTGCGGGTGGGGCCCCAGTCAGCCAGACGACAGCTCCAACTGTCAGTAAGTGTCGGCCAGCCCCAGCAGGTTTCGGGGGCCTCGTGGGGTTTGGAGGGGGGAGGGGCAAGCCCCAGCAGGGGCTGGGGACCTCAGGGGGATGGGGGAGTTGGCAGTAGGCCAGTTAGTGCCAAAGGATTTAGCAGTTTGATTTGAATGCAAACTCCAATGTTTAGAAGCTGGCCTTCTGTGAAATTTCAGAGCTCCTGGATCTGTAGGCTTAGACTGGGAATCTTATGGAAATAGACCCCCTCATGAAGATCCTGGTATTTGCTATAATTGAACCAGCAATATGAGAACAGCAATGTTAATACTATACCAAACCAACCCATCTATATCCAATCCTGGCAAGGGATAGGAAGTGCACAGGTACACAAACACAATTATACAAAAATAGTTCTTTGATTCCCCTCCCCACCATATTCTGACCAAGTCTTGTGCCAATTGGTTAAATAGGTTCAGCGGAACCATCATTGGCAGCATTGCCTACATTCTGATTTACCTGGGTGTGGGTTCAAAAGAGAGCTACTCCACTTCTTGACTGTGTAATTAATACATGCAATAGGGACAAGCTTTCTTACCTCTTTATCCTTGTTTCATACTCAAGCTTTTGTTTTGCCATCTCCTGCTTTAAGCTGGACACAAGGCTGTGCAGAGCACTGTGACTGTTGGTATTGTTCACTACAAACATTTCACTGTTGTCACTGCTGCTGGTAGCCTGGCTGTTGCATCCCCCTACACTTCTTCTGTCACTTTTACTTTCGAAGTCTCCTTGGTTAGAGAGGGCTTCTTGTGGTGGTCCATCTAACACTGAGTCTTCAAAATTACCCCTATAAAAGTCGTGTTCAGGGCAGGTGGTGGTAGATGATCGACAAGAGTTGGAGTGCTCAGGAAGGGATATTTCACAAGAGGATGTGGACCAAGTGGCACTATCTACGCTCTGCTTATCATCAGAGTTCACAATGGAGAACTGCTGGTGGACATTGTCATAGGTGGAGAGTCTATTGTGCTGCCCAGAGTCACTCACTGACTCCTTTTGCTTGTTGTCCCTAAGAGTGACATACCCATTGGGCATCCAGGTTGCAGTCTGGCTGTTCAGAGTATTGCTGTGCCCATCTGTGCTGGAAATGCCCATGCGCACTCCTCCATTCTGCACACTGTGCATGCCCAGTTTAGTAACTGGTCCTTTTAAGGATGATGTCCTCCTGGCCTGCAGCATACAATCTGGTAAGGTCTGGGTCTTCTCATGGCCTTCCGCAGAGCTGCTGAAGGACCCATTGGTGACTATGCCACTGCCTTTATTACAGGCTGGATTTTTTTTTACCATGAGAGGTGGGCTTTTTGTGACATCAAGTTTCTGAATGCTGTTTCTTGGGCTATTTGATTTGCTCCCTGGCAGGGCTGTAGGAGACCCATTATCCATGCTTCCCCTCTTGGGAGACCATGATTTGTCCCAAGAACAGTGCCTCACTGCTGTTTCCTTGGTGTTATTGTTCTCCTTGTTCTGCAGTTGACCAATGATTATTTTCTTCGGAATCTCATTGTTGTTGTTGCATACCTGCTCCCCTGCCTGAAGGTCTGTGTCCATGGGAAACAGCTCTTCATGTTTGCTTATCATCACTGACATTAGTTGCTGGACCACTACAGTACCTAGAAGAAGATGACAAATGCACAGCCATTAATGGGGTAATGAACCTGAGCCATGAAGAAAATACCATCCTTTTGGAAGGGACTTTGTAAAGATATCTAAAACCTAATATCATGTATACATTTTTCTAACAGATACTTCTATAAGCATGTATTAAACATTAATAAACCTCAGTTTCTCATATCACCTTCCTCTGGCTCCAACCTGAGATAGCACAATACAGTCTCTCTTGCCCTTTTAATAAATGGAAAAGTTGTTTGTTAAAATACTCTGCTTCCTAACTTGTCTTGGCTCAGGCCTACTGGCTGGCACCTTCAGAATAAGGCAAAGATTTCAGCCATTCCTGTTTCTGCCTATCCCCCCCTTTTCACTTGCAGGCTAGCCTACCCCTTTTCACAGAAAAGGAAAGAAGCTCCTTGCAAAGGCATACCTCTAAAAAGGAGGAGGAGGAGGTAGTTTCAATAGTGTTAACCTTTTAGCCTAGTGGGTAGCTGTGTGAGATATTTAATTAATTTAATACAAATGCCTTGAACTCCTTGGATATGAGATTGTGAAGAGCCACTTAAGCACATCATGCTATCATATTACATGGAAGATGCCACCAGGAACATATACATCACAACCCTAAACCCACACAACACTTCACTTAGTAATACACCATAATAAATTGTTATATTCCTTTTTAAAAAACCTTTGGTTTGCACATCACATGATTTCATTTAATTTACAGAACTGTCATCTGGAACTAATCTAAGAGCAATAATGATGAAACACTATTTTTTTAAGTAGACCCCTACTAGAGATTATTAAGAATCTTTCTATAATGAGGTCAGAGTGGTTATAATCATCATCCCATTTTTAAGCCACCAGGTAGATTTCAGAGGCACACCATGCACTTTTAATCAATAATTTCCTACTGGCCCATATCATTTTTACACTGGTTTCATTTGACTAGTCTGAACTTTTTCTCTTTTGCATATATCTAGTAAACATTGAGTTTGTCACAGATGCTTAATAATCTTTTTTTCTTTGTTTTGGTAAAGTGAAAATCTGTGCTACTTTGTCACAGTTCCTTTCAAGAATACCTCCTTTAATTCATGGATACATGGTATATATACTGAAGCATAATTTATTTGTAGTCTTTTTTATTGCACCTGATCTACTGAACTTGAAAGCATTTTTAACATGCCATGGGCACAATTTTCCTTGGGGCTGGCATCATTGCAATCCAACTGCACTCAGCTGGAACTTTGTTATCGAGTTCAATAGGAAGAGCTAGGCCAATGATGAAAACATCAAAAAACCTCACTGGAAATACAACATCCCCCAACATAAATGTATATAGGATAGATAAAAATAATATACAATTGGTGTGTTTTCTAAAAAATTGTTGGCATGTATTTTGAATGGCTGCAATAATCATAAATGATTAAACAAGTGATTTATACAGATCTGCACAGTTAAGAATGTGTAGCATTACCTCACCATCAAGGATGCTGTATAGGCAAGATTCTGTATTTTCTCACATATACCATGCCTTCATATATAGTATGCACCATGATTTTGAAGGGGAGCCTGAAGAAAAGGCAGCGCTGGACCTGGCATGTAGTCCCAGAACATGGCTCCAGAGCCAGCACACAGGGTTGGAATTTGCCCATGAGGATGGACCCAGAGCTAGCCATTCAGGGTCATACTTGAATGTCCTAGGTCCAACCCCACGTGCTAGGTCCAGGGCTCCCTGCTTCTCCAGAGCCATGTATCAGGTCTGGCTCCATGTGCCAGATCCAGGGCCATGCATCATGTCCAACTTTGCATGCTGGCTCCAGAGCCGCATGTTGGATCTGACCCAGCAAGCTGAGTGTGGGACTACATGCCAAGTCCTGGGCTCTGTGCTGGCTCTGGAACCACATGTTGGGTCCAACCTGGCATTTGCCCCAGAGCCAGTGTGCAATCATTGGTGCACAGAGGCTGACCTGGCACATGGCTTCAGAGCTAGTGCATGGGGTTAGCTTAACATGCCAGGTCCAGAGCTGTATGCTGGACTCAATGCACTGGATCTGGCCACAGACCAACTATATGCACCAGCCTAATCCAGTGTGCAGTTGGAGACAGAGCTCCCCACAGGTTTGGAAATTTGGCAGCCTAGAGACAAGGCAATTAATGTTAACATTGCTTCACCCCCTTACCCACCATTCCTGCCAAATTTCTGAACTCTTGGGGTCCTTTTTCCTCACATCTAATGCATACCCCAATTTTCTCCAGCTCGTTTTGGGGGAAATGTGCAGGTTATAAGGTCTGAGAAAATAGGGTAACTGCTGTCTCCTGTACTGGGCTCCTTCCAGGTGGAAGCCCCCACCAGCAGTTTCACCAAACTAGGATCCAAGGAGGTGCAGTAGGGTGTCACAACATCACTAGCAATGCTGAACACCATCTTGCTTGGACCACCGGTTGGTGGACAGGACAGGTGTTCCTGGGCAACCGTGGCTAGATCCTGCCACACCTGGCTGCTGGTTGCCCAATAGGCCAAGGGGCCACAGTGCAGCAACTCCACATCCTCAGTGAAATAGGTAGCCACTGAGGCCTCTGTGCTACCTGTGTGATGGTGGGGTCTGGTGCCTCTAGATCCCAACATTGAAGCCATGCCCTTGGCCCGCATTGGCAGCAGCTGAGGTGGAGGAGATTGGCTTGTTGCTGGAGTGCTGGCCCAGGAAAGTGGATCCCCTTCTTCCAGGTCCCTCTGCCTCCCTGACTGTTCACCAGCACCTCTGTCCAGTGATCAAGGGTTTTGCTGCTGCAGACACTCCCCTTCATCCTTGGGTCATGCATGCCCTCCAGCACATGGACCTGGTGAAAGTGTCTTGCCCCAGCCAGGAACATCGGTCTCCTGGAACGTCCCCATTTCATTCTCAAGCTCCTTCACTATGGGGATCACCTGGCTAAGGAGGGCATTGCCAGTGCTGAGGCTCTCGGTGGCCTTGAGGAATGGCTTGAGGGCCACCAGTATCTAAGAGATGGTATCCCACTCTGTTTTGTTAAGGAGGCTGCTGATCCCAATCTCCCGCACCAAGGCCATCTTGTGGATTCATAGATTCATAGATTAAGGGTCGGAAGGGACCTAGTAGATCTTCTAGCCCGACCCCCTGCCAGGGCGGGAGAACAACAAAAAACCCCAAAAAGAGACGGGACTCAAATGAGTCCAGCCAGGTAGGCATCCAGCCTCTTCTTAAAGACCCCCAGGGTAGGGGCCAGCACCACTTCCCTTGGAAGTTGGTTCCAGCTCCTAGCCGCCCTAACTGTGAAGTAGTT